TGTCCGATCCGCAAACGGCAGGGCACAGACGTCTGTATCCGGGACCCTCGTTCTACAAGGTGTTCTGCTAATGTACCAAAGTAAACGTGTGGAACAAAAGCTTTTCCTTTATCTATATGTATATATGTGGCAAACGTACTATACTGTACTCCCGACATAGGTATTAACTAAAAGCCCAAAGACGTGTTTCGCGGACATTCTGCCGCTGCGTGACACGACTGTGATGGGTTCGGCTTCTCAGTGGGCCCCCCGGCGTTTCCTATGCGGTTTCTGGTATATAAACTGCAGAGAAGAACCAAGCGAATAATTTCAGGAATTATTCAGTGCAGGACATGGTGTCAAGTCTCCGGGACAGGACTTTTTAAGGTCAGACCCGGAATTTCAATGAAAATTTGAGTCGAAGACAATAAACCACTGCGGAATAACCACGTAATGTCTATCCTACAAACTGGTACTACGAGTAGTATGACGACGGGTCGATGTCACCGACTTGACAATTTATGAGTACGACTCGATTTTTCGAAGAGTTTTCTCCTTTTTATTATATCACCTCAAAATACACACCACATCAATTATTCATATATATATATATATATAGGCAGAATGGTATTACCGACACAGACAAGGGAGACTGGAATGGCCATTTCTGGCTTGTCAGCCGTCGTCAGCCAGTCACACCCAAGCCCGAAGTGTGGAACACCCGAGCCTCGAACTCCCGACCTGTTGGTTTAGAAGTCCACGCCTCTACCCACCGGGCCACGAGCCCGTTGCTCTGTCGGTTTTCGATCGGGAATATACAATGATATATCGGGTATACAATGGTATATCATTCGCCGCTGTGCGGCCGCTGGTTGGGCTCGAGAGAGAGCCCTTAAGGCACAACGGAACGAGTGAGTTCCGTATGAACGATCGGCGAGCGCTCCCTACCATTTTATATATATATGTGTAGGAACACCACGTATCCTCTCCTAAAAGGCCCCTATTACCACCATTCCGGTATTGCAGGTCACCTTGCACCGCAGTTCGGGGGGGGGTACACATATCTGGGCCCGACCCGGTAACCAAATTGCACGTGGGCGTGTGAATCAAATTTTAACGACCTTACAGAAGAATCGCGTGCTTACAGCTGCGTTTGGATTGTGCGTATAGGGAATTATATGATATATTTTCGTCCGTAGAATAGCATATGTCAGAAATAGTGGGTAGCTAGAGGAAAGCTTGGCGGTCACTAAGAATCAGAAAGTCCATCCTTCCCCTCAGCACATATATATTACGTTGCAGCCACGTAATACATTCAGCGCTTCGAAACCGACCAGGACCAAAACGCCCACGAGACAGGTGGCAACTTAAATAAGCGTTCAGTAGACGGAGCAAGAAAACCACTCTAGAATTCATAATGCGAACGTATAGAAGGAATAAAAGTGCCGAAGTATTCGCCGTGCTGTTTGTACAAGCACTGGCTACAAGCAAGGACATATGCTTCGCCGACTTTGTGCTACTGCATGACGCAACTGCGAGAGATCCGGTTCATCAGTGAGCTCCCCAGGGTCTTTACATGTTTTCTGGCATATGCTTCACTTACTGATGTTAGGTTCTTTAGTTTGTAAGAACATTAAGAAGCTTGACAGTATAAAAAGGCTAAGGGAAAATAAACGCTGCAACGTGATAGGATGCTCACCTTTCCATTGCAAGAATCTAAGAGACTGATGCTCCCATTTTCGGAACCGCAAGCAAGAAGAGTGCCGTCAGATGTGGCCGTGAGTGAGGTGGGTGAGGCAGAACCGGTTGCACAATTTGGCCGGAAGATGATGGCCGGAGCTGGCATCATATTGGTGCTTGACTTGCTGAACCTAATGACTCGGTAGGGCACTCGCATGGCGTCTATGCTCTTGGCACATATCATGCCCAAGTCAGAACTGTTTTCGATGATGAGTTGGGCCGTTAGCTGAGGAAATCTAAACAAAGTGAAGAGTCGGCATGGGGCTACTTAAATCGTTTAAGTTGGGTGAGCATTCGTAACGGCAGTCAGTCAAAGCGCCGCCCCAAGCAACGGAACATGATAAAGAACGGTACGACTAACCTAGCAAGGAGACTGGAGGAGCGCAGCACATAAGTCCGGCAGGCTTGGAAAGTGTCATGACCATCTCGTAGGACCTCATCTTTCCATGCCTTAAGAATTTCAGGGGACACCGTTGCTAAAAAAAGCAGAAGATAGTAATCACTGAAATATCCAGTCACGGTTGTCTGTAACACGAAATGTGCCAAGTAACATAATAGGCATTTATCGGAACTTACAAAATCCGAGGTACTCTTCCAGAAGAGCGGACGTGTCCTTTTTAACAGCCTTCCTCTGAAGATACTCAACTGATGCCAACATCGAGCGCACAAAGTGAAGTTGACCAGCATGAAACTTCAAGGAAATATATTTAAAAAATAAGGCCTAGGATACAAAATAGTAATCGGAGTATTTAGTGTAAATTGAAGAACAAGTGCATTTTTCACAGGCCACTTCGTAATGTCAAAAAAGATGAAAAAACAGGACTGAAACTCCTTGTGACTTATTGTCCAAAAAGATTTCAAAATACCCTTGGGTTCTTGGCTTCGAACGCGACGACTTCCTGCCAGTACTCGCGCCGATTTTCACGATTAACTCTCGTCTCCTACCATTCTATTGTAAATTATAAAGCTCGACTAATTAAAACATCCCTGTTTCTTACGGGCAGTGTGTTTACTATTCCACTGTTTTCTGTAAAAAAAAACATAAGACAATATTTCGCCTCCGATTTCCCTCCAGGCTGTCTTATTGTGCATCATAGTTTGGCAGCAGAGGACCCGTCTGACTAGGTTTGGAGGATCGGTTGAAATTTCCCCACACCTTGGTGCCGCGAGTACCCTTAGGTTACGGAGCCAACCTCGTTAAGGTAACAAACACGCCTCTTCCCTAGGATTCTGTGACATGCTGAGTAACGAAAAGACCAGAAATTCTAATCCGTGGCCTAGTCCCAGAATCCTAACTGGTGAGTTGTATACCATGGTTTTGTCTGGCCACGTCTAAGA